CTTTTTGTACAGCTGCAAAGACAGTAACAAATATGTTGTTTGTACATTGTCACAGCCCAGGCTCAGTGAGCGAGACAAAGAGGCAGATCACACAAGATTTGAAGTAATTTAAACAATATTTCTATTACTAAGATAAATGCATAGTAAATGTATGTTTGTGGGGCTGAATGTATGTGTGGTGTTGTGAAGGCAAAGTAAGGAGGAAAACCAAACCCAAAAAGGGTGGAGGATGATAGTGAGAGGAAGAGAGACAGAATGAGGAGTCAGCCTAAATAATATAGGCCTGGGGCGCTCAGGTGCAAGACATCAAGTTGATGGCTCCACCCATCATGAGGGTCAGGAACCATAACAAGATAGTGTCAATGGGTTCCAATTAGCACTGCCCTCGACCAAGAATTTTCCTAGTCGACCAATAGTCATGGCATTAGTTGAGTAGTTGCCTGTACGTTTAGGATATTAATTTAAATATTACATTATATATTTTGGGCGGGGCAACACAATGCTTTGAGTTGAAGGTGTGAGAAAGAATAGTGTCAGTAACATTGTTAACACTGTGCTACATTACAGAGAAATACAAAACCGTACAAATGAACCTTCACTAATACAGGCGTATATTTTATCTACAAGTCCACGTCACACACTGAGCGAGCCGCCTGTTAATGACGCTGTTGGCAAAGCAGTAATGATTGTGCTAAGTGGCTAATGGGCATGTACAGTACAGGCCAAAAGTTTGGACACACCTTCTCATTCAATGTGTTTTCTTTATTTTCATGACTATTTACATTGTAGATTCTCACTGAAGGCATCAAAACTATGAATGAACACACGTGTACTTAACAAAAAAAGGTGAAATAACTGAAAACATGTTTTATATTCTAGTTTCTTCAAAATAGCCACCCTTTGCTCTGATTACTGCTTTGCACACTCTTGGCATTCTCTCCATGAGCTTCAAGAGGTAGTCACCTGAAATGGTTTCCACTTCACAGGTGTGCCTTATCAGGGTTAATTAGTGGAATTTCTTGCTTTATCAATGGGGTTGGGACCATCAGTTGTGTTGTGCAGAAGTCAGGTTAATACACAGCCGACAGCCCTATTGGACAACTGTTAAAATTCATATTATGGCAAGAACCAATCAGCTAACTAAAGAAAAACGAGTGGCCATCATTACTTTAAGAAATGAAGGTCAGTCAGTCCGGAAAATTGCAAAAACTTTAAATGTGTCCCCAAGTGGAGTCGCAAAAACCATCAAGCGCTACAACGAAACTGGCACACATGAGGACCGACCCAGGAAAGGAAGACCAAGAGTCACCTCTGCTTCTGAGGATAAGTTCATCCGAGTCACCAGCCTCAGAAATCGCAAGTTAACAGCAGCTCAGATCAGAGACCAGATGAATGCCACACAGAGTTCTAGCAGCAGACCCATCTCTAGAACAACTGTTAAGAGGAGACTGCGCCAATCAGGCCTTCATGGTCAAATAGCTGCTAGGAAACCACTGCTAAGGAGAGGCAACAAGCAGAAGAGATTTGTTTGGGCCAAGAAACACAAGGAATGGACATTAGACCAGTGGAAATCTGTGCTTTGGTCTGATGAGTCCAAATTTGAGATCTTTGGTTCCAACCGCCGTGTCTTTGTGAGACGCAGAAAAGGTGAACGGATGGATTCCACATGCCTGGTTCCCACTGTGAAGCATGGAGGAGGAGGTGTGATGGTGTGGGGGTGTTTTGCTGGTGACACTGTTGGGGATTTATTCAAAATTGAAGGCACACTGAACCAGCATGGCTACCACAGCATCCTGCAGCGACATGCCATCCCATCCGGTTTGCGTTTAGTTGGACGATCATTTATTTTTCAACAGGACAATGACCCCAAACACACCTCCAGGCTGTGTAAGGGCTATTTGACCAAGAAGGAGAGTGATGGAGTGCTGCGGCAGATGACCTGGCCTCCACAGTCACCGGACCTGAACCCAATCGAGATGGTTTGGGGTGAGCTGGACCGCAGAGTGAAGGCAAAGGGGCCAACAAGTGCTAAACACCTCTGGGAACTCCTTCAAGACTGTTGGAAAACCATTTCAGGTGACTACCTCTTGAAGCTCATGGAGAGAATGCCAAGAGCGTGCAAAGCAGTAATCAGAGCAAAGGGTGGCTATTTTGAAGAAACTAGAATATAAAACATGTTTTCAGTTATTTCACTTTTTTTGTTAAGTACATAACTCCACATGTGTTCATTCATAGTTTTGATGCCTTCAGTGAGAATCTACAATGTAAATAGTCATGGAAATAAAGAAAACACATTGAATGAGAATGTGTGTCCAAACTTTTGGCCTGTACTGTAGCTACTCACATGTTTCAGATGATACGTCATGTTTGTAGTCGACCAATGAAGATGAGTTTACATATCATCTTGGGTTCGTCCTTCACCTTCTCAAAATGATTCCACACTTTGGATTTCCTGCCCGACATGTTATTAACTAGCCTGTGTGATAACCGCAGGTACCAGCTCTGGAAATTAGGGGCCGCATACCGTGTCTTTAACCGCCTGGAAAACACAAGGTTTGGCGCTGGGTGCTACTCTTTTGTGCCACCTTTCAAGAGCAAGGCAGCAGGTTGCGTTGATGTTGCTAAGCAACTTTAACACGCAACGTATAGCCTATTTACCTGTGTGTGCGCAGAGCTGATCTTCTTCCAGATGCTGTTTATAAGTGTGTAGGCCTATCGTCAGTGGGACAGATGTAAAGCTCTGGGTAGCCCTGCACTAACATGATCAACTTTTCCGTATTTATCAGACTGAATATTTACAGGAGAAGGGAAAGATATCTGTCGGCTGTGATTGGTTTGTGACTCCTGTCTGACTGCTGAGCGTGGCCTCTTCCTGTGTCTGTCCTTTCAAATTAAATTTCCACATGGTCCAGTCATATCGGGGGTTTTTCTGCAACTAACCCACCAATGAAATCTTGCCAACTAATGACCTTTCTGGTCAACTAACGTTTGGTCGGCTATTAGGGGGTAGCCCTAGTTCCAATACACATACAATTTTACTATTTAGTATGCCAGAAAACAATTTAGCATGTCCCAATATATCCATTACTATCCAGGTGGAAGTCTCATACAGATTTACCATTTTCTTTTTCAAGAGCGACCTAGCCAAGAGGTCAGCACAAACAAAGCTTCAACACTTAACACAATAGACAAGTACAACTGCCACTCACCACAAATGAGCAAGTACAACATCCAATGACCAAGAGTACTATTTTCTCTATCCTTGAAACTTGACTTAAAATCCCTCGTTGTAATCAGCTCCAACAATTTCAGGTCCTTTTGTAAATTATTCCAGCAAAAAAGAGCAGCATACTCAAGAGCTTTTTTGCCAAGTTCTGTTCGAACCTTGGGGACCAACATCTGTTGAATATTGTGGGAGCACAGACCATATTGATTTTGGTTTTTACACATGTATGTACGCCGATAAGAGGGCACCATCCCAATGCATAGTATGCTATATGCAGAATGCCAAAAATACCAGGATGCAAGTCGGCATACTTTTCTGACTATTCTGACCCACAACCCTCTGTGCTGCGGAAACTATGTCACATCAACTGAGGTATAGGCAAATGACAGCTCACTGACAGCTGTCAGAAGCCACAGTGACTATAATATCAATCAATCAATCAATCCCAAATAATTCACAGTGTGTGCAGTTATAACTTAAAAGCTAAAACAACTTACACTACAAAGTAACAACAGCAGAGCTCTCTGGATTGACGTCTGTCTTTGGCAAGCTTGGTGAATGGCGGGTTTTTGTATCTCCAAGGTAACGTTAATAGATAATAATAAGATTTGCTGCGTTCCAAATCATGTACTTTTTCTTTTTACTTCAACTTTCACGCTATGGACTGCCGTGGATATATGAGCAAGAGTTGAAGGTCGAAGCACAATATTATGATGAAGTAGTATGTCCAGTTGTACTTTGTATGTACTGAAAGTAAAAAAGAAATGTATGCTTATTTGGCTGGGCTGAGTGAAAGTTCCACTCCCATTATTCAGGGAGACTTTGAGTCTAATGTATGACATACTCTCAGTATTGACACTTCCATCTTCAGCACCTAAAAATAAATGCATTAGTAGAGTAAATTCCCTTAAGCTCCAAGATCGCCAATACAGCAAGCAACCAATAACAAGAAGTGAAAGCATCAGAGTCTAGACACAGTCTCTATTCACAACAAGATTATAATTGTCATGACTTCTTTTTATTTGCTTGGGTTGTCTCTTAAATGATCATTTGCTGGTCTTTATAAGTATTAATTGATTAGAAGGGGTCTGTTAAAGTGTACAGTACATGGAGCTGGAGAGGGGCTGTCTCATTCATCACATGATGTAAAGTACAAATCTGCAGGGCTATGGCAACAGAGCTGGCTTCACATGACACATAGTTGACAAAAGTCACACCGAGAATCTTGGCGCTGCGGGCAGGAGTCACTGTGATCTTGTCAGTCGTGATGAAGAGATGTTGGAAAGGATTTTTCGAGGAAAAGATGTATGACATCCAAGAGGGTGTGTGGGGATAGGAGACGGCCTGGGTTTCAGTTTAGGAGGGACAAAGGCGCCAGGGATCAAACTGTGGTCAAGGAATCACACTGCCACATTACTGAGTCGTCTAAATGTCACTTGTAACCTTTTTTGCCTGAGACTATCAACAATTTCAAAAAACACAATACAAAAAGCATGAAAGAAAGAGAAGAAATATGAGTCAGTGTGAAATATGCTACAGATTTTGAAAGTGTTTCTCATCTAACGAGGGCTGTCTCTGTCTCCTTTCAAATCTTGAAGTATGGATGATGGGTATAAATTAAGATTTTTCCTTGTCATCAGTGAGCAAATTGAAGAACAAACAAATTGAACGGAGATAACATTTTAAAAGCTTTTCTCTCTCTCTCTCTCTCTCTCTCTCTCTCTCTCTCTCTCTCTCTCTCTCTCTCTCTCTCTCTCTCTCTCTCGTATTTCAGGACAGAGTCTGGGCTACGGCTTTGTCAACTACATTGATCCAAAGGACGCAGAGAAAGCCATCAACACGTTAAATGGACTCAGACTTCAGACCAAAACGATCAAGGTAACTGACACATGTACAGACAAACAAGTCTAATTACTATACTACACACGATATTTTTCAGCAACTAAACATCTGTCAAGTATTACCGCAAAACGTAAACATGAATTTCGTACAATTTTATAAAGTTGTGGATGTCATGCTAAACTTAACTTATAAGCCTGCTTTCTTCTTGCTCAAAGCCCTTTTAGATAGTGAGGCTGTTAGTAAATGAGATGGGGGGGGCAAGATGGGATTAACATGCACAAGCATCAGAGAAACAGACCATTCAAATCAAAGAGACACATTAAAATGCTTGCAACTATGGCTGATACGCTAATTACTCTCTAAATGTCAGAACGTAAAGGTAAAATTATATATATCTCTGAGTGAAAGGGAAGAAACACGTCAATCATCACATGTTTTGCAAAATAATTGAGGGCTCTGTTATTGCATTTTAATGGCATGACTAATGTGCAGTGTTGTTGGTATTTGTCAGGTAAAACAGATACATCAATGCCAACATTGCGCCGTCCCTCCTCCAAACATGTTTTGACGACTAAAAATTAAACCTTACAAGCAGTTGTTTTTACCGTTGTTTAACATCAACACATCAGTCTTCCCGCCGAGCTTGTTTTCGCCTCTCTCGTATCCTCCACTGTCGTCCCTTCCATGCCTGCCGATATGTTGTTGCTTTAAGCTGGGCAGTAATCTGTTGCTCCGTAGTAATCCCTGGATTCTCGCTTTCTGTCATCTGATCTAATCTAATCTAATCTAATAGGATAGGATTATCCTGTAGCTGTGAATAGGGAATCCCTGGGAGAATCCCGCTATTCCCCCCGGACAATATGCGCTGCCTGGCCTGGCCTTGGTTCAAACAGCATCTCGCCTCTAGTCTAACTTGTGCCACAGAAAAAAGAGACCAATAGAGAGTAGTATATGATGTGTGTGTGATGTGCTTTCTGCATGTGTTGTATACGTGAATATGTGTGTACATTTTGGCTTGTTTGAGGCAGGATTTGTGGTGGTGTGATGTGTTTATGGTCGGTGGAGCAGTGTTTGTGTGTGTGCATTAGTTGTCCGCATGCATGATTTGGTCATTGCAACCTACAGTTTCAGCAAAGCAGGACTCTCACTGAGCAACAATTGCACATGTGTGTATGACCCAAAAGACTGGGTGCACTTGCTTGTGTATGCACTGTTCTCAATAATATGACAGCCTACATGGAAACTTAAGGGGATAGATCAGATTTTTGGAGTGCTGTTGTATGAGTCACTTATCCATAGCCGGTGTAATACATACATTACATAGTTTGGAGAAGCAGTCAGGAGTGCTGCCACTTAAGCTAACCAATGTACTGCTGTGGCGGGGGGGGCAGCAGCAAAACATATTTTAGCTCGCTTAAAAAAGGCCCACTGGTTTAGGTGTACACTATATTTAGAATATTTTTACTGCTTTATCTTCTCGTCATAGAGCCCTTTTCCAAAGAAGAACTGTGCTCTCTTTGAGCTACCAGACTCCTTTGACAGAAACTGTAATTTTACCTCACAGAACACGGGAGCTGCTGGTGTTTTGCTGCCTTTATCGCATAGTTTATTTATGTTATTGTGTGACTTTGGTAAATGCAAACTAACACTTTCAACCCCCCAAAGTCACGCAATAACAAAAACTAACTAACTGATGGCAACACACCAGCAGCTTGTGTGTTCTGTGAGGTAAAATTACTGTATTTGTCAATTGAGTTTGGCTCTGATTGTGTGCTGGCTGCCATCTACTGTCCGTAATACAATAGATGACAATGACAATAGATAAGAACATCAAAGAACCCTACTTAAAAATATCCAAACTATCCCTTTAATTGAAAGTACTGTAGGGGGTTTTAAACGTACAGACCAGAAGAGGTTGAATGTCATTTACGTAGCAGGAAATTCATGAGGTCTTTATTGAGTGTTGCAGTTTTAATTCACAGATTTTCACTCTCACACTCTCATGACACAAGAGGTTGCCTCAAGTTGTTCCTGACATAAAGGCGGTCCTCGTAATGACAGAAGACAACTCTGCATCTGGCACTTTCGCTCTTTCACACTTCATTTCCTTCCTCCCACTACCCTCTTTCCTTGCTTTCTCTCTCCACAACAGACTGAAATACCCTAAAGGTAACAAGGTAAATTAAAAGGCAGCACGGTAATTCTAAAATTAAATTTGGCGCTCTTTCATGTCACACCCTTCCCACTCTCTGCCACTACACTTGTGAGGAAACGCTTGGCCCAGAGATTCACATGCTCTCGGGCGATGTGTGTCTCTGTAGTGTCTTTGAGTTGGTTTCGCTGCCGCGGTGTCCTCCACCATGACACCTCAGATTTTGTCAGCGATGGCTGCGATGCTGCTTTCCTTCCGAGGTGTGAGGGGAAGCAGCATGCCAAAGGTGAGAAGAGCTCACAGTGACATGCATGCACATAATCTCGCACACTTTTTCGAACTTTCCTGCACACACACACTCACAGGCACACACACTTTCCTGTTTCACACGCGCAGCACACCACACTTGTACACAATACCGCTCACAGCTTGAGGAGGTGTTGATGGATTAGACATCTGGAGTTGGCTGACAAGGAGAGAAAATGAGGGAGAGCTGCACAGAGAAGAAAAGAGGAGCAAAAAGCGTCAGAATCTGGAAGAGAGAGAAAGGTTTAGTGAGGCAGCGTGCAGGAAGGAAGCAGAGGGAAAAAGATCCAGGCGACGAAGGAGAGAGATGCAGAGAGGAAGAGGAAGACAGAGGAGCTGAGCAGAGAGGCCAAAGAGAGAAGACGTGTGAAAGAAAAGTGAGACATGGGGAAAGCCAGCTGTTCCCAATCCCATTCTCCCACCGTTAGAGTTCAGCAGGATTTCCATGCTGTTGCTCAAGGATATGACTGCATATCCACCATATTTGCCTGACTTTAACCTTATTTGATGGCTTATGTCTCCACATGTCAGAGGTAATGAAAGTAGTGCAAGGGAAAGCTGCTCCAGTCAGCAGCAGTAGTAACGGGATTTACGCAACTTTCGCTCGAGCAGAATCGGGTCTGCACATGAGGATGTTGGGGACAACGTTTGACAAGTGAAAGTTCATTGGTAGAGAGCTGCTGCTGGGAACCGCACAGCACACTAGAACCAGTTATCCAGTCCTCACCATTTACATCATTAGAGATGACATTCATACACAGTATACTCCAGGTAGAAGAATGTGAATGACTGGAAGAGAGCATTGAAAGCTGTACGCGTGATTATAGGCATGTGCATGAGGATAAGTGTTTCTGTACGTGTGTGGAAATGAGGAGGAGGAGCAGCGTGTGACAGCAGGAGAAATTGTGTGGGTGAGTGTGTGAGGAAGTCTTTTTGCTCCCTCTCTCTGACATTGCTGTCCAGGAGAAGATTGCAAGAGCAAGACTGTAATAGAATTTATGTGCATGTGTGTTTTTGTATGTTTATGGTTGCACAGGGTTTTACAGCGCATAGTATGTAAGAATGTATGATTTACTCCAAGTACAGTGCAAACCGCTCATAGTGATCACTGCTACAGAGATAAACTGCTCATATGGATCAAAAAGCCAGACAGAATCATCCCTAAACAAATGCTGTTTAAAGGTGTAGTGTATAGGATTCAGCAGGATATATTGGCAGAAGTGGAATATAATATAATAAGTATGTTTTGTGTGTGTGTGTATAATCACCTGAAAATAAAAAATTATTGTGTTTTTGTTACCTTAGAATGAGCCATTTATATCTACATAGGGAGCGGGTCCTCCTTTATGGAGATCACCATGTTGCACCACCATGTTTCTACAGTAGCCCAGAATGGACCAAACACTGGTATCTCATAGGTCTATTCGTGTTTTCGCATTGGCTATCGCAGTTAGAAGCCCCTCCGCAACAAGCAGCATCGGAAAAACGCACATTTTTAAATATGAAATTGCTTTATTCTGTGTTTTCACCAGTTTTAATCACCTGGTCTGTTTGTTTTGGAGGGGAAGAGACTGTGGATGATTCGCCTCCTGGTAAAAACCTCTTGAACATCTGGGTCTTAAGTTATCAGAAATAAAGTGAGCACACATTAGCAGGTGCTAGTCTAACGGCCTGTCTCCAACATGCCAAACAGCGTCCAAGAAACACTTGTTTGTAATGTAAAACTGCTTTATTCAGTGTTTTTACTTGCTTAAATCACCAGGTCTGTTTGTTTTAGAGGGGAGGAGGAAATTTAACTCAGACTCTGAAATATTGTTAGCACACGAGGCCCGTCTGTGATGTTCCTGTGTAGTGGAAATACCGATTTTTACTGGTTTATAATCACCTCGTCCGTTTTGTTTGGAGAGGAGGAGAGCTCTGCAGATCCTCTAACATTAAAAATCTCCTGAACAATGGAAACTGAAAGAATTTTAATCAGGAGAAGTTTCAGGTGCTTTAAATCTGCAGTCCTCACAGCTAGACGCCACCAAATCTACCTATATGTTCCACACTGCTCCTTTAAATTATTTGCTCGTAGTAATCAAGTACTCACAGTGTTTGTTTTGGATGTTTTCATACATTACAACATATGGAAAAAAACATTTAAAGCTACAGCAATCCTTTTATATTCATGTATTTATGTATGTTTTACTTTACTCCCAATATATTTTGCCTCACAGTAACTTATCTGCTTCCAATCATGCTACCAAATCATGAAGGAAATAGAAAGTAAAAATGTTGTCTCTTCAAAGCTTATGACAAACTGCAAAAACAAGCCAACAAGATGCAGCACGGAAACAACAAGACACAGTCATGGCTGCTAGTGATGGAGACAGAAAAAGAATGCGCACAGGAAAAACACCTGTGGTTGAAGCCACCCTCATCAAGCAGACTGATAATGACCGCCCACGTAATGACTGTTTGAAACAGCGTGCTGTACAGTAACAGTCAATACAATTCAGTAAACAGCAAAGCGTATGACTCTATATTCATGTAATGGATAAACAAATGTCAATTAGATCATAATCTGTATGAGAGATAAACAAAAAGGACATAGTCTGTTATAATAATCATCTGTTTATAGTGATCAGTTTGACCTGGACAGATGTGATCACTGACGGTGGTTTCCAATGCACTAAACTCGCAGGACAGATGCTCTGCGTTAGAGAGTGTGTTAAAGGTTTTACTCACACTGCACGCCACCTTAATAAAACCAAACTGTGAAATCCACTCTGCGGGGTTTGCAAGAATAAATGGCACTTGGTGAAAATCTTAAAAGGCTTTTGGTTACTTATTATGAGGCTTGTGTGTTAATTAAAAAGCTTGCTGAAAAAAAGACATCTGCAGACATATTAACTCTAAGTCAGTATTGTGAAATCAATACGGTGAATGAAGAAACTTTTTGGTCAGAGTCCTAGTACTATTAATCCTGTTCCCCCGGGTACCTGAGCCAACCATTCAAAGTAAAACACCTGTGGTTTCTACTCAAGGGAACAAAGTTTCCTCTGCCTCCCCTGGCAAACGACTCAAGTGTTATCTCTCCAGTGTTCTAAGCAGCTAAATCTTTTCCTGACAACGATAATCCCCACGGCAAGGTGTGCTAAGAAAACACAGTCACATTTTACTCCCTGTGGATCCAATGACCCGCACCCCTGCCCATCCAAAACACACATACACACACACACACACACACTCACACAAAATCCTCATTCCTCTCGCTCTTTAATCTTGTTTAGATTTAAACCCTCCAGGATGTTAATGGGTAATAAAGTACTGGAGCCCTAATTTATTTATACAAGCCCTAAGACTCTGTATCTTCTCCCACAGGTGTCATATGCACGACCCAGCTCAGCCTCCATCCGTGACGCCAACCTGTATGTTAGCGGCCTGCCCAAGACTATGACTCAGAAGGAGCTGGAGCAGCTCTTCTCCCAGTACGGACGCATCATCACCTCCCGCATCCTCGTCGACCAGGTCACAGGTATCCATGGGGCAGCGCCTCCTCTCTCTTAACACAGACACAAAGCTCACACACATGTATGTGTACATCGATACACTGTGTGTGTGATTTACTCAAGCCATTCATGAGCACACTTAGACTGATTATTTTATATATTTTGAAAATAATTACACTTTGTTAAATGTCTGTCTTCTGCATGTGGTCATGTGAATATTTTATGTACTGTATGGATACATCCATCACTATTGGTAAATTTGCAACTGCTTTTCAGAAGGATAGATAAAACCACTTGCTGCAGTTTTGAAACTGCTTCCAGAATCCTTAAATACTTAAACACACATCTCAATAAATAAATAACCAGTGTGTTGCACGATACAGAAGATTTTTTTTTACCTATTGCTGAAGTAGCTACATATTTCCTTCAGCCAAACAAAGATGGCATCTGGAAGTGACATATTTATCTGCGCTTGTCTGTGCTGAAACTGTAAAATAGCAAACTCAAGTGTAACAGTACAGTAAGTCTGCAGTTTATTGTAGCACCATGTGTCAGTCACATCCACTTGTAATGTGTTCATTTTACGTAGTACTGGACCACACCTTCTTTCTTTCTCCTGTGCATAGTGTAGTTAGATGAGCATGGAAAGCTTGAAATGTGACAAAAAATGACGTGCTGAAAACATTTGCTGTGTGTGTTAAGACATAATGATACATTGAAGAGAGGCAGAAGTACTGGAACAAAGGATATCCAACATCTGTGTGCAGGGAAAGACCTGAGTCAACCAATATATAAAATTAATATGTACCAGCATTGGAAAAATATTCACTCTAATGTTACAAAAACAAATCCGTTTCAGCCACAACAAGTCTTGCCTATTGAGTCACTGACCTCTAAGCAAATTTTCTGACCATGGCGGCCACAGCTGACGGCGCCGTCGTAAAAACAGTGATTACATGAGAGACACAAGCCGCGTAATATACATGCTCAATTACACATTCCGCTACATCCAAAACACAAGAATGAATCACATCAGTCCATTGTGTTGCAGAAGAAACCCTCCAGCATGTCTCTTAGATCCATTTCAGGGGTTGTGTGTGTGCCTACAGGCTGCACCCTGCTCCAGTGTTATGTGCAATGTGTACTGATGAAGCAGAAAGGGAGCAGCATGCTGTAAGCCACACTCATTTGCCTAAGCAGAATAAATCACTGCTGGCGGTGAAGTGCACGCCTGTCTATACACACTGAGCAGAGGAGGAGAGGGAGCGAGAGGAGAGGGGGAAGCGGAGGAAGGGAAAACAAAGGAGAGGAGAAAAGGAGACAGGGTGTAGTGCACGAGACAGAGGCAGAGAAAATGGAAAGAAAAGCGAGCAGCACAGGGCGTAGATGAGCACAGACGTGGGAAGGAGAGGAAATGAGAAGAGAGAGGAAGCGAAAGGAGAGCTAGGGAGGGGGGGCAGCGGAAGGGAAAGGTGGGGGGGGGGGGGGGGGGGGGCTATTTCTACCCTCATCAACACATGTGTAGGTGAAGTGGGCACATCTCCTGTGGATCTGTCTTTACTAACGGACCTGTCATGCCACCATGCTACTTAGACCCAGGGGACTCCTTACAAACCAACATAGTCACGCAACACACAGCACGGCCACAGGAAACATATGTGTTCAACCACAGCCACATGCACATCTGATTTTCAGACCCCCAGCTCGGTACACAAGCCGTGAATGGAAAAAAGAATTCAACACAGGTGGTGCTGGTCACAGGAAGGCAAGACTTTGATGCATAGGTTGGGCTCAGAAGAGACTGAATAATTCATTGTGTTCATTCTTGACTGGCACAAGGTCATTTTTAAAGTGGAGCATTGTCACGAGCATGTCCAGACAGAGTGCTGCAGCGGTTCACTTCCATCTTGTGGTGTCACAGTATTGGAATTGCTAAATTCTGTGCAATACCTTGAAAAATATTGATATTCAATACAACAACAGCGAGTAGCACAGAACAGCAGAATGACTGTAGTGAACATTGATAATAATTAAAACTGTTTTACATTAATGAAAATAATATTCTTCTTGCGGTAGTGCACACGTTCAAGAGCCTCTTAGAATGTCACACATTCAAAATGCAATAAAGTGCAAGTAAAAAACAATAAAACCATGCCACAAAAGCCTATGCAACTGGAGTGAATGAGACGAGTAACAAGAAGACGGCACTGTGAGACAGTGAGAGGAGGCGGAGCTATGGGGGTACTGCAGCGGTGTGTGTGTCAACTAGTAGGATCAATAGTATCAATACTGAGGAAAATGAGTATTGAAACCGTTTCAGATATTCAGAATCGATATGTATTGATAAATTGACATTTTTGACAACACTTCTTCTACCAATGGGAATAATAAGAGCATTTTTAAAGGGTTTCTCTACAGTACAATGCCACATTTTGATGTACCTTCCAAATATTACCACGTGGCTTCTAAAACCAAATTAATCTAAATTGCACCTATCCAGCTTCTTTCATGTAACGGTCCTAGTGAAAAGTGCTATTGGCTTGTCTTTTTTACCAAGCGATGCCACTTTGAATAGTGTGCAAATGTTGGGCCCAATCCCAATACAACCTTTGCCCCTTCCACTTGGGCTACATCCCTCTGTTTTGCGCATTCAAATCTAGGGTAGGGTGTCCCAGGTCAAAGTGATACCCTTCCAAACTGAGATTTTTTTAGAGGCACACTTCAAAGCAAGTTGTATGAGAAATCATCAGCAACAAAAAATGTATTTTCCTTGTTAATAAGGATTTAAAAGCTATGATAACCGTGGTATTTTCTCAGTTTTATGTAATTTTTGTGTTTTACGGTTCTTTCAGTTCTAACAAGCATGGCAAAAGAAATCACTAGCATTCCAATGTCTCAGTAGCTAACTAGCACGCTAGCTTAGGTTGCATTGTCATTGCTGATTTGTTCATTACAGTGCCACATTTTGACTTACCTTCATGTTGCATTTGTCCACTTTGATTGCAGATGACACCGCAAATGTAATGTAAATCCAGCAGGGAAGTTGCTGCACTAGTTATAGCTCGTTTAATATGAGTGCAGACTGCTAATGTTAGCCTACAGAGCACCGCTTGTGGCCTGGCAATGAAGCAGTGTTCTTTTATTTGATGACTTGTTGAATGATTTACAGCGTGAAAGTTAAGTTGTGGTCGAATCGCAATTGTCCTTACAACCGCAGAAGGATGCCTGTAGCCCTCACAAGAGAACTCACCACTGCAGAAGTAGGCCTATCTGCAGTTTCTGGTAATAAAATGAGGGGGTTTAAAATATGAATGGGACTGAGTCTGGCTTCAAGCTAACAGAAAATCTTTAAACTAAATACTGGATTTAATTACAGCTATCATAACAAGACACAGTTTTTCTCCTGTAGCATGTAGACAGTGGATCACTGGTCAATACACTGTTATATACATAGAGCAGGAGGTGTTAAACACTGTGAGTCTGCTAACACCCTTGGATACATTAATTGCTGTCCTCACTAGCACCCGACCTACTGTACCTGCTTTAAAACGGAAATACACAAAGATCCACTTGTATATGCGCCTACACACACAGAAACAATGATAATAATAAGAGATGTTCTGCAAGGTGTCTCCAGAGGGTTAAGGATCAGCAGGAGAAATGTTAATGATCAATTAGATGTTAGAGTTGCTGGTGATTAAAAACATTGAGGACTTTAGAAGGGCCCTGAGAGTAGTATGCCGACATCATTGACTCATCTTTTTCTTCTCTCGGTTACTGTACAGGCATACGCACACGAGACATACACACCCACACACATACACACACTCGCTGCCATTAGGAGAGAAATGGGCTGCAAATTAAAACTCTCCTGTGACTGCCAAAAATGTAAGTACAGAACAAGAAAGGAGAGGCAGAGGAAAAAGGGAGACACAAATAGATTTGTGTCAGACTGGATTGTGGTCCAGAAAGTGGTGCAGTGTCCAGATAGTCACCCTGAGGACGTCCTAATGTCAATTCTGTTCCGGTGACAACGCTGATAAAAGTCCCCTGAGAAGAAGACAGTAGGCTCATTGAGATGAACTGCACCTCGCTTGGAAAGTAGACAAGATCAGGCAGCAGACAAAAAGCTGCAGTCAAGTCAGACAGTTTCCAGCAGCTCTCTAAGACTATACAGGAAGTTGCAGAGATATTTACATCCTGTTAGATCCATCTGTAGTTCCTGGACCACATTATAACCTTCATGACTATAATTATCAGCCACACAAGATCTGTGTGTGTTAACACATTAAACCTTCATTGCTCATGAGACAAATAGCTGACAATCTAGCATTGGATTTTCCTCATAACACGGCATTTGTGGTCAAAACTGAGAGCCAATCAGCTCTCTAATCAGGCGACAGCTAAGTGTTTCCCATCATGCCTTGGGTCTTGCAATCGGTGGACAGCAACTGAGGCACCTGGCTCTAAAAACTGTGTCCACCATGATCTTGTGAGGGTATCATTGCTGATGGCTGCATGATGTCAGAGCAAGTTGGGATCAGGTTGGACACAAATCTAACCAGCATGCGTTGGCTCATCTCAAACGAGCCTTACAGCTACAGTTTGTGTGGTTTGTGATGTTTAAAACCTAAATCTTCTTGAATTTAGGGACATACTGTGTTGTTGATATGACATCATTATCATGTGGTGCCTTGAAGTCCTGTCACAGGTCATCAGTGAGTCACCAGTGTCCCCATATTTATTGAATTAGGGACCTAATCAGTGCCTGAAATCCAATTCACTCAATGATTCACTGTTTCTACTGAAGAGGGAACTGATTTGAGACACACCCTTACATTGTCCGCAGAAATACAGCAGACTGTGATGCAAATACCAAATTACATAGAACCAGCAATTCTACATAAAGTTGCTGAAGTAACTGATGTTCTCCAGTGACCATCGGCAGATGGGCTGATGATCTCCAGCTCCTGCTCTGCTAAATTGGGAACATGAAGTCTGTTCTCTAAATGACCTCCTCATCAAC